TTTGGTTGAATTAATGAAAACTGCCAAAGATAACACAGTTTGACAGGAATAAAATAGCATTTTTGGGCCATCAAAGTGATTCCCGAAGAAATTTTGACTGAACATGTTGCATATCTAAGCATGGTGTGCAGTGTGTCCTTAAAAAAATTGAGGAAACTGTTCAATTATAGGGCAAAAGAAGATGTGGTAGGCCTAAAAACTACCTACAGCAGATAAACAATATTTGAAAGTCATGTCATTAAGACATAGGAAACAATCCAGCAAAGACTTCTGGCTCTTCAGTTGATCCGTCCAGAAATGGTCTCAAGAGTGGCTGCCAAAGAAACCATTATTAAAGAAAGGAAACAGGGAGAAAACAATGAGGTATGCCAAATTACACAAGAACTGGACTGAAAATCATCGGCAGCAGATCTGAAATTTGATGGTAATTCCATGGTTCTGCCATGGCGTGGCTCTGTACTTCAGCCTGTGGTATTGGAAAGCTTAACAAAATTGACAGAATTACGCACACAGCCAAGCACCACCAGATTCTGATCCACCACTCAATACCATCTGGAAAGCATCTGATTGGCAAAAGCAGCTGGCATCCAAGAGCATCAAAGGTCTGGAAATCTCCTTCAAGAAACCTGGAGAACTATTCCTGAAGACTAAGAAATGACAAGCTTGCCTAAGAGAGTTGAACAATAAAGGTGATCATACCAAACATTGAATTTCAAGCAAATATAGAATTGTACAGACTCTGTTTTTGCCTCATATACTGTATTTTCATTAACGTCTACACACATTTCAATAACTTGCTGTGCCCATTTCACACTTTTGTAGCAAACTATGAAGAAATGAGGGGGTGGCTTTCCCCAGAAATAAAGATTGTGGAAAACTCACATGGAGAACGTTACGTAACAATGCCATTTCTCACCATTAGTTATTAATATTTTGCCAGCTTGAGTGTATTTCACAGAGCTACAGTGGGATTTAATATCTTTTTAGTGGACAGAAACACAAACAAGCTGCAAACTTCCCTGCCCCAGGACTGCAAACGTGCTCTGACATGGCACATAACTGTTGTCATCCATCAGTTATGTGGAGGACCCACAAAAAGACAAAAAAAAAAAAGACACACACATGCACACACCTCCCTATTAATCAAGATTCTTGCTTTATTCAGTACCACAAGCTTCTTCAAACAGGGAACACCAACAATTGGCTAAAGGCGAGGAAACTGCTAGATGGGAGCTGATGACCTTAACAGCAAACATGGGGAGGATTGATATTTATTACACCTGCTAAACTTTGTTTAGAAACCCCAGTTTCAGAGTCAACAGACTACCTCAAGAGCCATTCGTCAACGTGATTTTGATGGATGGCAAGTGTCTAAATAGCAGCCAAAGAAACTAAACAGCTGAACTCTGAGCATTTTGCACTGGATAAAATCACATGGAAACATGCTACGTAACGGCTGAGTGTAATTAGCACATAATGCACGCTGATTGATAGTTAATAGCTCAGTGCTGCCCTCACACTAATAATAGGAACGGAAGCTCGAATTCCCACAGACTCACACTAGGACTGTTTTGTCCCACATGCCTCCACAGAAAAACGACACAGTACTTAAAGAAGCAGCACGATGTTTTTCTGTCTTTAGATGTTTCACACAAGCACGCGCATTTGACAAATCTTCAGATAGTTGGCGAAGCATTTATAAATATTTAAAGTATTTTAACAGATGAATTTCTTGCCAAACTTTCCACATCATTAGACCAGTCTGAAACTTTGGTCTATGCCTCTCACTATCTCGTGGCCATGTCTACTTTGCAAAAATGTCACAGGGACTTACAGTACTGGATTAAATGCAAATGTTTTCAGATTTAATCAAACAACCTTTCTAAAAAGCTCCCGGCAATTGAAAAAGCATTTTTTAAATAAGAATAAAGACTACACAAGTACTGAAAACTCATTAACAACAAAAAATTTTTAAAAAAGCTACAAATCCACAAGATAGATCTTTAGTTTAAGTGGACAATTAAAGACACATAATTATTCAAACAAAATTATGTTTTGATAAAGATCTTCAACATTAATGATCTTTATGTTGTCATCTACTGTGATATTTTTCCTGTCCAGTGTCCAGAGACATAAGCTCAATTTTCTCCACATACGCTGCACTAGCGTTTAAGGCATTAGGTCTCATTGTACATACTTAATTCAGCAAAACAGGACAAATAAGTTCCCCCACATACAAAACGTTTCAGAGGATTATAAACTCAAATGTGTTCTTTCCGAGCGTACGTGACCAAAACTGTATCTCCGTGGAAAAAAAAATAAATGATTGCCGTTTTGCTCTAGCTGCCACACAACTTTGTCACGTCTTCAAAAGGGCAAGAAGGAGGAAAGAGCAGACCGAGCTACCGCACATTAAAACAGCCTGCAGTTATGGAAAGCAGCGCTAATGTATGATAAAAAGATCAGAAACTGGAATCTGCTTAAGCTGAGTCTTCAGGGAACTCTGTAGACTCTGTGTGGAGGTCAGAGCGGTGGGTCATAACCCCGCCAACCGAGCCAAGTCAACACACACAAAGAACAAATACAACTGAAGCCTTGACATTCCTAAACTGGTTAGCTTTATAGATTTTTTGCACTTTTGTTAAACAACCTTGACTACGGACCAAGACAGTCCATTGTCTGAAAAGCTTCTGGTGCTGCATAAACTATATTGATTACATTCTTATATTTATTTATTACAGTTTAATACATTATTTCCAACTCCTGATGCTTAGAGCTGACTAAAATAGTTATTGTGAAAAGGCTCTGCAAGCACCGCCTGCTATATGATTTCAGACAAAGAAACCATCTTGAAATATTTGACCTGTTATAAAAACTAAATGAGTAACAAAGGGAGCAGTGATTATGACATCATTTACTGGTAATAACATCATCATGATAGTGATACTTAATCCGAGTATTTACATTTTATTTTATTTCAGTTATTTTTATAATCTCATTACACTTTAACTACAACTTAATCACACCATATGAGGCTAAAGCTTCACTTCAACTGGCTCATTAAAACTAATAATAGCTGATTAATAATGAATTAACTTAAACCATTTTGCTCATAATGCTTGTGTAAAGTTACTAGATTAGGAATTATAAATATCGGACTGTTTTAAATGAGGTTTTGTTGTTTGTTTTTGTGAAGGATCTGAATATCCTTATCATTATATAAAACACTGTAACATCCTTAATGTAAATAATCAACCCACTGAAGGGAGAAGTTTTTTTTGTGATTGTTCTTAACTTCTGTTTTCAGTCATTGTGCTTCTCATATCCTGTCCTGTTTTAGTCACTGTTTCCGACTGTTTGCGTTGGTTCATTTGTCTGTGTTTATTTTACTGTTAGCCTCACTGTTTTACCATAAAAGCCTAACCGGGGGCAACATCTACAAACTTGTGGCTACAAATCCTACGTAGCCTACATAGCACAGGTCCATTTATTTTCTTGCTGCTTATCCGACCAGGAGTGCAGCGGGACTGCAGTCTATCCATGCTGACACTGGACAAAAGGCATAATTCATAATTCCCTTATATGGTTTGCAACATTTGAGCATTTGAGAGAATAAATAATAAGACACACACACAGAAATGTATATTAGCTGTAATACAATCAGCACAAAATGCATCTATTCCTCACAGAGCTGAAGCTGACGGACCAGCTCACTCTAAACATTCACACCACAACAAATTGAGTAACTGAATAAACGCAGTTAATTTCACTTAATCAAGTAAACGACTCGTTGCAAATGCTTCCACTGTTACATTTGCAAACTTAGCACCCTCACAGTTTGCCACAGATAATTTTTTATTCAAGATAATCTTGTTTGCGTCCATCTGCACGTCTATGTAAATACAGGGTACAGTTCCTGTTGTACACAGTGAATCTCTTACTAACAAATAAATAAAATGTTAGCAGAAATATGAAGAGTATTTGACGCTAATCTGACTGATAGAGTTTCAAATGTTTTCTGATGCAAAGTAAAAACTGAAGCTCTGACAGAAAAATAAGGCACTCCTATTTTAAGACAAAGCCTGTCTGTCTTTAAAATGGCGAGAGCGAGACTCGCGCTTCTTCTCTCTATTTAAGCAAAGTAAAAACCTCAAGCATATTTAAAGAGAAGTGAAAGCACACAACAACTAGGTCAATACTTTGGTTTTTACAACCATATTCACACACAGTTATCTCTGCCACTCTAATCTCAATGTAATGCCACAGCTCCGACACACGGCAGCATTTATGCTCTGCTGCTCTCTAGAGGCCAAAACGTGTAGTGCCTGAGATCTGACCAAGATTACCAACCAGGAATAAATAATAGAAGGCTTGGTAATTAAATTTGAGCCAAACTTCTCACATAGGAACCTTCTGTTCCATGATAACATGAATCCCATTGCTAAGATAAAATGACTGAACACAACAAACCTCTGCCTGAGTTTGTTTTTGTTTGTTTTTTAATTTCACAAAAAATATATATATTGTAAGTAGACTGTGAGACTGTTCAAAACATCTGGAAATTGTCCATCTGAGGACCATTCACAGAGAGACAATTTATGGTGGGAAGCCAGAGGACACAAAGACACTGAAAGCTTCAGCGATCCAGTGGCTTTGAAACCAAGACCTTCTCGCTGTGAAATGTCAGCTCCCCCCCCCTCCCACCAGCCACCTAGTAGATACACCTATGGTATCAATTTCAAAATCCTACGTAGCCTTGTTCTAAAGTTATCACATTCACAAGATTTTCAGGAAACTCGACCTCTGACCTTGAGGTCGAGGTCGCTGGCATTCAAACTTGTCAGAGGATTTAGTAGATATACTTATGGTATCAGTTTGAATATCCCATGTCACCTCATTCTCGAGTTATTTATTTTAACTGTTTATTCACATAAACAGACTTTTTAAAAAGCCCTAAAAATGCATGAGGAAAAAAACATATGAACCAAAGCAGCACTCACAGAAGTTTCCGGGTGGCTGCAGGTTGTGTTTCGTCAGGGCACACCAGCCGACAGGGAAGATGTCTCTGGAGTCGAAGGGGCACCAGTAGTCAAAGGCGCCTCGCCAGCCGTCGAACATGACAAAAATCTCCTGACCTCTGACCTCACCCACTGTGGCGGGACAAATCAGGTAAGGGTTCTTCCTGTCCACTGCCTCTAGCTTCATCCCAGGCTGAAAGTAGTTTTTGGCAGGGCTGGCAGGTTCCTAAAGAAACACGTAAATATACATGCAAATAAAATGAATCCTGCAAATCTAATGGAGCTTTATTTTAATGGCAGATAAACTGTGCAGAAGGTGAAAGTGAACCACGGAGCCCACATACAGAGTAAGATTTCATTGTGTGATTAAAATGGACAAAATTAACTTAGTAATGGCCGTGCTGTTGTTTGAACATATAAAAAAAATCCCTAAAAAACTGTTTACTATTACAAATTTCTATCCAGTTTTTAAACATTATTTTCACTAAACATAGCTGCCCTCTTATTTTTTGTTATTACCTTCTTAAAAGCCGAAGCTGGGGCCATCTCTGCACCGCTGAGCGTCCGTAAGAGAAACATGGGCCAGGACGAGGCATTCATCCTGAAACCTGTACACAAGGCCAAAACAATTCAGTTTAACCTGATTGTTAATGCTGCAAATTACTGACCAGGACTTCTTTATGTTCACACTGGATTTCTACATGGTTCTTCCACAAATATGATGAAGTACCTTTAAGTGCAGGATATTTTTATTCTGTTTATTTTAGAATAGGACTCAATGTTACCAAACTGCACTTAAAGACGAAAACATTTTTAAGGAACACTTGTGCTTTTCCTACTATTACAAGTCGAAACACACATACAACATAACATACACCCTTTTCCAACATACGGTCACTGGGAGAGTTCAATTAGGCAAATTAAGTACAAAATTATTTTGTGTATGCTCTAAAACCAAATAATACCGATCATAATGTTATGTTTTCAATGCATTATGTATATGCTTCTCATATTTTGTTAAATATATTTGAGTAAGTTTTTAGTTTCTAGGAACTGTAATCATTCAGATATTTCAATTTACAAACAAACACTGAACGTTACATGGAAGTCTTAATAATCCAAATTGTTCCCGGTAACAGCAGGAAGGCACCCACCGAGCGGCGGCTGCAGCATGTCTCCGTTCCTCTCGCAGGTTCCTATTGGCTGGATGTCCAACGAGTCGACCAGCCGCCAGAAATCGTTGGTGTTGTCGCTGCCATCCAGACGCAGGCGTAGCCGAGTGCCCATCATCCCCATCACCGTTGCGATGCACACCGAGTTAGAGTTGCGAGGGTCCCGTGCTTCAAGTTTCATACCTGCCTTGAAGTCGTTGGAGGGGGGGACTCTGGACTGCAGAGGGATACCAACAGACCTTCAGTCATCGCTCCTTGTTCGAGGGGCCGATACAGTGATAGACGTTAGAGTAGTGTGTACACTCAGCTTCAAATACAGAACATGAAAGATGAGTCTGCTAATATTCCTCGAATGTGTACTGTCAATAACAACTACAAGAAAAACAGTTGTTAGTAACTGTCTTAGTTTTTTGTGACTTTCGCAGCCTGTGGTATTTAGCCCATCTGATTATATTTGACGCGGTGCCCGAGAACCACTTTATGTCGTTCAGTATACAGTACTGTGCAAAAGTCCTGAGCCACTTCCATTTCTTTTATTTTTCCCGGAAAACGGGAAAGAGGTGTAGCAATTTTTTGAAACATGTGCACACACACAAATGGAAACACAGTATATAAGACAAAAACTGAGCTTTTACAATTCTACCAAGCTGGAAAGTTAATAATTGGTATGACCACCTTTATTCTTCAGTACAGCCTGAACTCACTCAGGCAGCTTGTCATTTCTTTAAGTCGTCTTCAGGAATAGTTCTCCGGGTTTCTTGAAAGCTCTTCGTTGGATGTTGGCTGCCTTTTGTTCTGTTCTCTGGGGAAGGCAAGCCATGACTGATGACTGAAACACTCATTGTTGTACCTCTCTGCTGAACTCGTCTGTACATGCTGTAAATGAGACTGTTGCCACTGATTCAGTCCACTTCATGAGTAGTTTGGCATACCTTCTCCCTGTTTCCCTATATTAAGAATGGCTTAACAGCCATTGGATCATCTGAAGGCTCAAGTCCATCTCTCAGGCTCTGTGTCAGGTCCAGAATACAAAGAAATGAGGGGCAGACGGCTCAGGAACAATCCTGTTGCACAAATCCAGGTGATATGGATTGTGTGTTGCATGTAGATTGTGGTGTTTTGATCCTCAGTGACGTTGCTGCTGCTGCCACAGCGCTCTTTGATATTAATGCATGTAATGTTTGTAACTGTGATGTCTTTTTAATTATGGATGTATTTACTGACAGCTGAGGAAAAACACACAGAAAACTTTCAAAAAGAATAACAAATGTTACAAACTGAGGAAATATTTAAGGTAAAAAGCCAGAATTAACTATTACGGTTCTCATTACAAATTGTGCTCATATGTTTGGGAGCCAGTCAAGGTTTTTCTTACAGTTATGTCTGGAAGGTTACTTTCAAGATGTAATACTTTACTAGTTTTTCATTTTTCTCAGAATTTTACTTTTTAGATTTTGATAACTTTTTATTATTTTTCTAACAATTTAAACTGATGACATAAAGCTGAAAAATTCTTAAACCAGTGGGGTAAAGCTCATAAAAATGGGAGTTGTGCAAAATTCAGCTCTTTACTGGAAACCAATTCACTTGTCATGCATACGGCACCTTAACATTACATTTCGAACAATTCTATACTTTTAACTTTGTGGGAACAGTCTGGAGAAGGCCCTTTTCTTTTCCAGTATGACTGAGCCCTATTTGCACAAACAAAGGCCTTTAAAGGCATCGGTTGAAGTTTGGTGTTGAAGAACTTGAATGACCCTGACCTTAACCGCATCAAACACCTTTGGGATGAACTAGAACAGCCAGGCCCTTTTGCCAAACATCAGTGTCTGATCTCAAAAATGCTCTTTTGGATGAATGGCACAAAGTTCCCACAAAACACTCCAAAATCTTGTAGAAAGCCAGAAGAGTGGAAACTCTGCAAATAGGGACCAACTCCATATTAATGCCTATGCTTACTTCACCACACTGTGAATCATTGTATATGAAACAAACTCCACTCACAACAACCGTGTTGACTGAAATGTTTCTTGTAAACAAATACTATATGTGGGTTTTTTTTTTTAAATAAACCAATCAGGAAGTACCTGTTTGAAGCAAGAGGGCGACGCTGCAGTGGAGGACGTTTCTCTCAGATACTCCTCCCAGCTGAACGGTTCTGGCACAGAGGACAGAAACAAAACGCAGATCAGTCAGATACAGAACGGGTCAAAAAAGTGTAAAAAAATCACGTGTTAAAATAAAACCAATCAACAAAAAAACCCTTGTAATAACACTAAGGCTAATTTAAGTGAAAGGAAAAGAAGTAATCCCCACTTTATATTTATAAAAGCAAAGTAAAGCTTAGTCTGCGCAGGATGTCAGAAATACACAAAAGAACGTGAGTAATACTGTTAGAAAAGCAGGGGTGCTTTTGTTAACCTACCCTGGAAACTTACTAAAAAAAGACATAATGAGTTACTAACTGTGGAAGTGGTGACACTGCAGAGGCTGGATTAATAAAAAAAAACGTTTTAAATTAGACTGATAATGAGAGGGTTAACAAAGAGGAGTGACAAGGCAGAGATCTGCACAGCTAACCATTAGACTTGTCGAGAGCAGAGCCCGCTGTGATGCTGCTCCGTCTCTCCTTCTTCTCCTCCTTTTGATCTGCAATCAAAGCGGTGATTGAACGGCTCATCAGAATTATGGAGCTTCTGATATACAGACTTTAATTACTGTGAGAATGAAGGCATTGTAACAGTTCTCAAACTACCTCAAACATACCAAACATAAAAGACTCCAATCGTGTCTTTGTTAAAAAAAAAAACAAAAGAAAGAAAAAACAAAAGAAAATCAGCGAGGATTTTGATCGTTTTGGGATGTACCTTCTAGTTTGGGCGTTTTGAATCAAATTGGCACAAAGGCTCTGTGCAGGCTTACCTCTGTGTGGCGTTCGGCCCATGATGACTGTGCTTCTTCGAGTCAAGTCAGGCAGGCAGCTACCCAAACAGATGCTAGAAATAACACAGTCAAAAGAGTTCATCTCAGTAGAGATCAAATGTAACCACTTAATAGCGCAAGCAATTTCCGTTGAGGGTTTTCATGTAACATAAACTTATACTTACGACAACATTAGAAATTTGATTATTTCAGATAATTAAATGGAAAATACTCTGTACTAAGCCCACATAACAACATTAACAGATTATAAACTTATTTTAAAAATGTGTCCACTTTTTTTTCCACTTAGAAAGCTGACGTTCCTCTAGTTTCCAGAATATTTACGCGTCCATGTTGGAGAATTTACTTTGGAATACTACTGCAGCTTTATAAAGCACTAAATAGTTTAGAGCTAAATTACATTTCAGATCTGCTGCTACATTATGAAATGTCCAGACCTCTCAGATTGTCTGGAACATGTCTGCTTGCTGTCCACAAGATTAAAACTATACACCGCAAGGCAACATTCAGTTTCTACGAATTACAAACTGGGGGTAAAAAAAGCTTTTTTTCATTAAATTTTCTGTCCGTGTAGTAGTCCACTCTAATGTGTAATTTCCTGTTTAGTCTGTTTTATTTTATCTTGCACTCTGTTTCGTCTAAATCTTGTTGAAATGTCTTTTTAAGTCGTCTTTCGCCTTTTCTGTCATCTGTAAAGTGCACCCATTTACCTCGTTGTTTAAAATTGCTTCGCATATAAGTCTGCTTGACCTTTTTCAAAAATGCTGTGATATTTTGCTCACTCTCAACAAATCTCAGGGAAAAAGACCAAAAATGAAAAATGACTCTATCCAACTGTGTAGCCAAAGCCTACTAACTTACTCCTGTTATTGTGAATTACCTAAAAGCATAGTGAGCCGTGCTTTTGCACCAGGCGACCATTTGTAACCATTACTTTGAGTCAAGTGCTTCTACAACCAATTGAATCCAAACATGGCTAAAAATAGTATCTACCAAACATAGCGTCCACACTGGTTTGAGTGCCACTTGTGGCACAATACAGACAAGTTAGGGAAGTACTGACAGAGCTGGATTAACATGTTTTAGTCATTTTATAGGATGAAAATCAGCCATTTCTCAAAGCCCTCTGTGTTATTTTTCTAATTGTGACCTATAATTTACCTAAACTTTCCACATTTAAATTTCAGGGGTCGTAGAGGATGTGCAAGAGCTGTTCATTGTGCAAAACAAACAATGAACTTCAAGCAGAGGCAAAGAGGTAACTAAAACATGTCCAACAAATGCTCACTACCACTCATTTTAACTAGTTCAGTTCCATGTGAACTCATCTGCTAGCAGCTTTTCAACCATTATTAATTTTCAAGAAAATCAAACTGTTACCACACTGCTTAAGCTCCGAATCTGGTCCAAAACCGAGGATCAATTTTAAGAAAAACGTCAGCGCAGTGCCACTCCATGCAAATTCTGTACATAGCTACAGCTCAAACTGAAGAGAAGAAAAAAGAATAATCCACAGCACACAAAAGAGACAAAAATACAAATTAAATCCACAAATCCAAAGGTTAAGATGTCTTCAGAAGCCTCACAATGTCTCCTTTCTTTGTGCTTCAAAGTTGTAGCATCTGCAATGTATTGTGGCCGACCCTCCCTCTGAAACCCCCCTCTCTCTAACCCCCCCAGTGCAATGAATCCCACTGAGTCAGAAGAAGCCATAAAGATTCCAAGCTGCCATAAAAAGCCATTAAGACGTGTGGAAGTGGGACGTCTGCTGGCAGACATGAAAAGGATTCCAGCTCCAGACCGGTTCAGTGTTTGCATTGGTTTGTCCGCCTTCCTCAAGAGGGTCAGACAAAACTGCCCCGCAGACCAGGAAGCACTTAATTTTTACAATCTCCAATTCCACTCATGCAGCCACTGATCTGGGATTAGTGCGACGTTCACACAACGGAACAGTGAGAAGACGTGAAAAAGCCGTAACTCTCACTCAACAGGAGCTGTCAAAGTGTTTGTCACTGATTTTATTATTATTATTTTTTTATAAGGCACACATGTTTAAATTTAAAAAAAAAATCTTTCTTATACTACGAACTGATTTTTGACTGTGTTATGTTCACTGGTCACTAAATTATTAGGATTTCCAGTTGTGGAAGAAAGCTAGTAAAGCAATAACAGAGGAACACAGAAAGTTTGTTTTGTTTCTTGATCAAAGATAAAGGCGGCCAATAAAACAAATCTCAGTCATCTTCCCCCAAAAGCTTTTTCTGACTCTTAATTAAGAGTCAAAGATACCTTGTTTATTTCTATTAATAATTAATCTAACTTCTTTTTTTATTATTAATATTTTTGTTGTTCTTTTTAGTTTGGGAGTGAAAATGTGGAAAAAATGCTAAAAAAAAACAAACAAACGAAAAGTTTAAAACCAAAGAGTAATGTGGCGTAAAGGTTTGGATTCTTATTATTATTTTACTTATATTTTTTAAATAAAATTTAAAGCATCACAAAAGATAAAGAAGAGAAATAAACGTGAGAGCAAAAGCATAGTTGATTACAGTGCAGTACAGTAACGCTGCACGTTCTTAACTGTAAACTGAGCATCTCGTAGTTTTGAATGGTTTTCATTATTTCAGTTTTAACTGCATTTCAGAGACAAACAGAAAAAAATAAAGTGAGAAATTATGAAGAATGAAGACGGTTGCTCCACGCAACTGACTCTCAACGACCAAATGGGGGAAAGTGACTTGCTGATTATTAGATAACATAATAACACCTTTAATCAACTGTTGAACAATAACTTGGTTTTTTAATTATGAGGGATGTTTATTTACGCTACATTACTGTCTTCGCTTTTTTTTTTTTCTTCAATAAAATGTTACAAGAGTGAGACGAGCTTCCAAAACCGGGTTTGAAACCACGCTCTCGGACTGGCCTGGTGTTTCCTCTGTGAGGCAGGACAGTTGGGAGACAGGACGGTGAAGGGATCACGTTACTGCTGCTGGGAGGCTGAGGGGTGTGTGAGCCGCTGCAGGGCGTCACCTCCGCGATCATAACTTGGGATATCCTTTCGGACCCCATAACTTTAACAGCAAAATATTTATTTTCTTCTTTTTTTCCAAGTCAAACTGTTTTCGCAGCACCAGAACTAAAGATGAGTCGCATAAAAGCTTTGAAATGGAACAACATGCAGGTTTAGAGGAAACAATAAATAAAAAAATAAATAAACGTGCATTGCTCTTTTTTTAAATTTGCAGCCAGTGAGGAGGGAGGAAGTTAAATAAGGTGAAGGTAGAAATTTAAATGTGAAGAAAAGTCTGTGACGCATTTTCATTTGGGTTATGGTCACATTTAGTGGGCGGGACAGTGCTCCTCACACGGGCTAAACACTGCTAACGATACACTGTATCCACAGCGGTGTTACTACAAGGCTGCAGGATCGCGCCAAACGGGTGTTTTTCTTTTCCTCCTCAGTTGCAGAGCAATCCTCTGCATTCGTCCAGTAAACAGAAAGCAAAGGGAAAGCTGCAGAGTTCTATGTAGCTACTGTAGGCAGCACCGAGCTGCCCGTCTGCACAGACTACAGTATAAACACGCTCCGCTCTCCGACACTGCGTGCGCTAATAGTAGGAAAGCTGAGCGCTTTTGACCGCAGCACGGAAAACAAAACAACACACGAGACTAATAAAGAGGGATGAGCCGTACCAACCGTGTCAACTGGGTATTTTGATGCGAGACTCCTCACTTTCTATCAGATGCAAGCCGCCATATTCGCTGCAGCTTCGCGCATGTCCACCGCGCAGTGCTGTAATTCATTTTTTTTCTTTTTTTTTTCTTCTTGCACAGGAGGTTAAAAAATAACCAGGTTAGTGTAGGGGAAATATTAATTAGGCCTTATATTAAGAAAGTATTGATTCATGTTGGGTATTTATATTAAACAGCATGTCACGTGGAAACGAAAATCTTTTTCTTTATGTGTATTTTTGTTATTGTGGCATGCTAATTATCACACAGGGGGTGATGAGAATAGAGATGACATGCAATGTAAGTGACGGAAGGTAAGCTGTGTTAATAATTAAAAAATGTTTTTAATCAATAAATTAAATTAACTGAAAAAGCAGACACGTAATCTGTGTTACAGTAACAACAGAGCAGTTACATTCAAAATGTACAATTTTGAATTTTGAATAATTTATTAATGTAAAACTATAGATGCGCTTTCGCGAAAACCATGCATTTTAAATAGTAAAATCAGCAAATGACAATGATGTGATTTGTGGTATATTATCAAAGCTGATATAGTCATGGCTGGTTGAGAAGGAGTTCATTTTGTTTGCTTTGTCACTTCAGTTGTAACAACGTGTCTGTTTCAAACAGTTCAGTTTTCTAAAATTGCATTTTAATTGATTGTAACCAATATAATTAGGTAACATTTTGTATGTTGTATTTTTTGTGTAAAAAGTATTTCTTATAATGCTAATTGAACATTTGTCACTTTTTTGTTTTGCTTTTTTTAATTTCATGGTATAAAAACGCCTTTTGGGTTAATTCTAGTATATTTTTCCCCTTTTTTTTTCTTTCTCCATTTATTTATTCAGTGACTATAACAGCACCATACTATATAGGAGTAATGAATGAACTGTTTCCACCTGAAATGTAATGGAATAAACATCCAAAGTAGTATAGAGTAACAGAAATACTCAACTAAGGTTCCTCAAGTATGTTTTGTGTACCGTATTTCAGTTAAATGCATTAGTTATGTAACACAGCTACAGATTTAAAAGCTACATAATAGTCTAGAAATATTGTCACATGGCAGTCGTTTATAAGTTAAGATCCTTATCCAGTTGTGACAATGTGGCAGAAAACAAACTCTTTCAAATCTCAGTATATGAACAGTAATTACTTTTCTCTCTCATAGTAATTGTGGTATGAAATCCAAGTGGCAAAGTGGGGTTTTTTTCCTTTGTAAAATGGTTATGCACATTCACCAACCAAATGACACCACACAACACGTAACGTAATAGTCAGTTGGCTACTGTCCATTAAAACGTTTATAAACTGTGCTGTTTGAAACTGACACTTTGTCACATATCAAGCAACAAAGTAATTCAAATGTCATCTTTCTCCACAGTAATGAAGCCCATGTTAATGACTGGGGTTACTAATCCAGTCATAATGTGCTAAAACAAAGTAATGTGTTAAACCAACATATAAGGTGCTGCTGCAGCAAACTGCAGGGCTGGCATTTAAAATTGATTTCATGTTTGCACTTTTACTTCTTTGTGTAGCAAAAGAAATGAGCTGTCCATTTACCTGGATGCTATTATGTATTCAGATTGAGTTTAGACATTACAGTACAGAGAAACCTGTTTGTTTGTTTTAGTTTAATAGTTTATTATAATATCTTTTCTTTTACATAGAAATAATCTCAAGCCTTGTGCTATAATTATTGTGGTATCTTGTTGCATTGGGAATTACTTTAATAGGTTTAGATTTTAATAAACAATCACCTCACACGCTGTGATGCACTGGCAGACAAAATGATCCAATACAGGCACAGGTGGAGCTCTCAGTCTGAAAAAGGACAACTGGGGTTTATAAGTCATTAACTTTTAGTATAACAAATGTTGCTCAGACAAAAAGGTAAGTAATTTTTTAAAGTACATTTAGCCTGTACTTGCTGATATTTGCTACAGTATTTACATAAAGACACGCCTTAATGGCATTTCTCTTTCTACATAAACTATTCTCCACCTCATGGCTGCTGGACGGAAACTGAAAAAAATATTTATCTTATGAACACGTTAAACACATTACCTCAGAAAAGATAAATCACACCTGCCAAAATGAACTCCAGAAGGTCAAACCGAGACCAGAGGGAGGTGTGTGTGTGTGTGTGTGTGGGGGGTGTCACACACAAACAAAATAATGCAGCATTTAATGTGCACCATCTTTCTAACACCTGCTCTCATTACGAAGCCGGTCGATGCAGTGTCCGTGAGTCCAGTGGATTCACACCGATTTCGCCAATTAGTGCATTGGTGGAGGGGAGGTGTAGGTGAGAGCGAGTGGAGAGGAGCTGCAGGAAGATTTTTAATCAGTGACACAACATGGGTTGACCAAAGGGGAGGGGAGGGAGGCAGCAGCAGTAATTAACAGTGTAAAAATCTGCGTGCTGCTGGAAGGAGATGATCACCGGGCTTATCAAACGCTCAACAAACAGTGCGCTGGACTGCATTTCCATCCCAAAGTTTTATTTTATCTCGACTCGCTGTGGATCTTAAACCACTGCTGGAACGCGCAGACGTCCGTGTTTCTATTGGCTGTGCGCAGCGTCGCTCAGAGGAATGACGATTTTGCTGCTATAACCAGCTGATGCTGAGGCTATGAACGCGGAGCCTCTGAAGAACTGTTGACGGTACATTGACACCCCGTCATCGGCATTATGCCTGCGGATTCGGTCTCCCGTCCGTCCAAAGACTGAGTGAGTAGGACATTTGATCGTGTCACGACGCACAGGCCCGGGTTTCCCCCCTCCTCCATCTCCTGTCGCTCCACATGATGTTTCTTCGTCTTCCCACATCATCATTTTCATGGGCATGATGCTCCGTGCTTCACAGATTGAGCTTTCTCACCTCGTACAGGCGTCACATCGCATCTGCAGGTAAACCTTCGCGTGGTTTAAACGGTGGATGGGCTACGAGGTTTTTTGCTCGTTATCTCGTAGGATTTGATTTGATTTAATTTTTGGTATGTGTTGGGAATGATGTCTTACCACGGGTTCATGAGTGAAGGCTTTTTTTTCTTCTTGAATTGTGGATGTTGTTGTGCAACATTGTCGTGAACGTGGACCGTTATAATGTATGCACTGGTTGCTGTGTAGGCTGAGAATCGCGTGGACAGCGATGGAATGGTGGTGCGCTCTGCAACGCAGCGACGAAAGAGACGCAGTTTCGGTGCAGAGAGAGCAGCATTACTATCCTCCCCCCCACCCCCTCTCTCACCTCACGCAAACACACATAGTCTCGTGCACGCGGACGCACGCACCTGCCTATTAAATTTACACTCCCAAACTCACTTATTGCCGAGGTTTATTTGCATGCAGACTCCAACGAGCCTCAGTTGCAGTGTCGTGCTGCCGTCCATTCTATATTCATTCAGTATTTCCTGGACCTTCACGGTGATGTTTTCACCTTGTTTCCATTTCGTTTTGCAAGGAGAGGAAGCAGCTTATCAATAAACCGAATGCATGCTGTATCCATTTTATTTCCTCCCTAAAGTATGAGCTCTAATGTCTCATAGGTCACTCTTGTCGCTGGCGTATACCTATTAAAATGTGCACTACGAATTAATTCACTACCCACTGTCCTTAAATGACAAGCCATGGGTGGCCTTAACGTCCACCTTATCTCTTCCCCTGGAAAGACTTAGCTGTGTGGAGCGTACACTGCATAGGAAAACGCCCACACAGGCACATGAGCCAAGTCAACATTAAAGTGTTTTTTTTGCACTGCTGAATAAATCAAGTGTTATACAAATTAAGTTGGACTGATACTGTGAGAAGCTTTGATGGTTCCAGTCCAACAGCATTCACATTACAAAAGAGGCATTTAATATTCGTGGTCAGTTTTTGGATGTGTGACAAGAGACAGTCTGCCTTTAGATGTAATTGTTCTGGGGGGGGGGGGGGTTCTTTGCTTTGCTTAAACAAAATAATAACAATATTACTTGTACATAGATGTATAATAACCTCACAGAAAGACTGAGGGGTAAATATAAGCAAAGAGAGAGATTGTTAAATCTTCACATCAACCATCTCGGCTTGACAGATTCAGAGTTCTGCAGAGACAGCGGTCACTACACAAAGTGTAACTGTTGCTGATGTGAGAGTGGTTTTGGAAAGTAAAACAACTGTTTTTGACCTAATGATCCTTTAGCTTAAAACCCAAAAGGTCACCGGGATTGTTCTAAATCCTCCTGACGCAGACGTGAATTCACACATCCGCTTTCCTAGGCAGCCCGTTTGATTGAATTTCACCTAATAATTCTTCAGATGATCTGGGTGTTGTCACGCTGTGTGATTGAGTGCTCGGAGCTAAGTTCAAGTCTGACACCACACCTGAGAGAGTATTGCTGAGGTGTAGGTTGTGATGATGACCCAATTCTTACCCTAATGCTATAGTTTGGAGAAAGACAAAGCAGACCTATTTGAGGAACAAATGAGAGTAGATTTTGATGTTTGTCATTTAGAATGATTATTTTCTTTGTTCTGTGATTGCTAAAACTGGGAGAACAACTTATTAAAAAACATATTCTTTTTGCTTGTTTGGGTTGTGATGACTTAGACCTCAGAGGGTTAACTTGCTAATACCAAGAATGTGTCATTTTTACTGTGTTCAACATCCAGTTTACCTCGTTAACACTTCCTTGTTAGCCCAAACACAAAAACTGTTAATAGTTTTGCAATATTTAGGTGTTATGTAAAATATCTTGATGCATGCTCAATCATCCAGGTAAGGAAATCCCAGAAAGCTTGATCATGTTCACCTGGACGTCGTGTTTACAGTGGGAGAAACGTTTAATCACTCATCCAAGTGACTTCTTCAGTCTCACTCACTTGGATGAGTGACGAAACATTTCTCCCACCAAGATGATGAACACAATCAGCTTTCTTGGATTACATAAAGTACTTGACAAATTTTTTTGGAGCCGACGACAGGAAACACGAGTGACGACACAGAATGTGATGGTTAATCAAGTAGAGACCTTTCACTGAAAACCACAAACATCACTCAGCTGGTGTCTCCAGAGGGAAAGTCAGGCCGAAATCTGTGGGCTATATCATGCATCACTGTTTGTTACCAAAATTGTGCCAACCCATTTAATAAGTGCGGAGATGTTTTATCGGATAAGTGAAAACTTTGACCTGCTGATGGTTGCCGAGTGCTGTAGGCAAATTAAAGAGGATTCATTCTCCTCGCACAATGGATAGTAAAGCACTCCATCCAATGGCTGTCAATAACTTTATTAAATAGCAAAAATCTCTTTTTTTTTGTAGTGACGGTAGAGAAAAAGGTAGGGGATCACTCAGAGGAGTCCTCTTCTGAGGATCTTCTGAGCACCTATGTTGTTGACATGCTTCCTGCAGCATCCTCCATGTTGATGTATAGCTAATTAGAATAGATGGGATCTGTGTGGAAGTCATACTTAAGCCATGAATTATTTAAACATGTCCTGAAGGAAATATTGCCTTTCTGTATATCTACATGTCCTACTTATTCACTGTCTGTGTCAGGAAGACTAAGAGCATGCAACTCCCTGTGCAAGGAATGATGGGATATTTGGACCTTCAGAGAGACTCTTTGACAACATATTTAACTGCATCTTTGTTTTTGTCTCTGGTCTTCCAGGTTTGCCGGCATGCAGTGTTGGATGGAAATAGAAGAAGGACATCAGCACATGGAATAAAGGGAGCGCAAAGGACATCTGAATACACTCAACTGAGATACCTAATAATTACAATAATAAGAGATTTTTAAAAAAACAAAAAAAGTCCAGAAAAGAGGCAGAGAGAGAAAGAGAGAAGCTATGGTGTAAAGGGAGTGAAGATGGGCCGTGATCAGACGCTTGCAATGTTCCTCCTGGAGTCCACAGTTCACTCCACCGGCTGGTCAAAGCAGGAGTCTCCTCGCTAAAAACCCGAGCAGCTCATTTCACCCGCTGGAGGAGCCCTCACTCTCGGTGATGTAATGAATAAGTTTGAAGTCCTTGGCATTGTGGGCGAAGGTGGGTGGATTTTACACGGCAGATTTCACTGCATGCTTTAAAACTTGAAGACTTTATGTACTGTTGCTGGTAACACTGGGGTCATAACCAGTGTACATTTTAATGGGATTCAGGTGTCTTACACTGCACAGTTGAAACCTACACACATAGCTGTTGACAGAGAGTATATATCCTACTTTAGCATTTTTGAGCACAGGCAGATTTTAAAGGGGCGCATGAGCCTCAGAGTTTGGTGAAGTCTCCCATGGAGTAATGTCTAATTCGTTGTAATAATAGCTTTGGTCATTAGGTCGCCATATTTATCTTAAAACAAAATTGTGAAATAGGGGGGTGGGTTTTTTTGTTTCGTTTTGGGGTTTTTTGTTTGCATGTATGCCTGTTTGATAAGAATACCTTTAAAGGTTTTACTATGAATCCTCGCTCTTTCCCGTTTTGCAAATTGAAAACATCCCCTGCATATACCTGTTGTTTGGATCCTTTCCACAGCACTAATTTAATCAGTATGTTAACAGTCAAGCATGCTCACCCCTCTGCTGCTCAGTTTATCTTCTCTAACAGTCTCTGTTTTTATTCCTTAATCACGTTCAGTTGCTTCTATTCTGTGTGATTATCATCATCATCAGTGCAGTCCAACCCTTCTTGGTCTTGGTGCAGCAAACAAAAATATGAGTATGAATATGCAGAATCTGCAGGCACGGGGACAAGATTTTTGTTTAGACCAAACATGTTTAAGAAGGTGTTGTTTGCATACAGGTAAACAGCCAGTCCAAAGAATTGCACATTTTTATTCAATTAGATATTTTTTTGTTTTTTTGAATTTGTCTGCATTGCTAAACGATAACTTTCATGTGGGATAGGAAGTCTGGCTACTCCGGAAGCCCCAAAATGTTATCAGATGATAGCCAATGGGTTCCCATGCCTAAAGCCTTTAGTTCAAAGGGTAGGATCAGCCCCTTCCTGGCCAGAAAGAAGTGCTGAGTTTGATAAGCACTGCTTAGAAAATCTAGTTTCAATTAAAATTACTTATTGAATTAAAAGACACTCCAAACTCAAGAGCAAGAACAGATTTGTAGTGCTGATGAAACGGATATTGCTTCAATCTATAAAACGCTGAATTTGCCATGTACAGGTAGTTCTAACTTTCAATGTTACTCTAGCCTTACTTTGTTCATGGTTAGTATGAGATGATTTAATATAATCACTTGTTTTACTGTTTAGGATAAAATTAGCAATGCCTGTCCGACAAAGACATCCTGCTTATAGATGAGAAAAGCACTGTATATGGTTTTGGTTGGAAGTGTTTAGCTTGGAGGATGTAAAATGCCTTATTAAGAAATCATAGAAACCACACATTTTTCAGCACCATATGAGTATTGCTGAAATGTTGAATATGCATGTAAGTAATTCTTGCAAATCAACTTTGTGAAATTTTCAACAGCATAAATTAGTCTTGGTTCTTCTGAAAAGCTCATCCTTAATTCTGCTATTTTTATTCCTAATCGTACTTTTCTTTAAGGTTTATATAAATCAAATAAATAAAATTGCACTTTTAGCTGTGAGTGACTCTTAAGTGAGCCACACAAACGCCCTTTAATTAGCAATCCGTGTGGCTTCTGCTTCTTGTAGCCAGCAGCGTGATTTGCAGCTGATTTGACTGAGCTGGATCGACATGTATTCCTGCTTTACTCTAATGTGAGAAGACAGAGTAGCCAAGTGTTTATTCTGCTGTTGGTAATTCTCGCAAACTGTGATCTACACCAGCACTCGTTACTACATCTATCAAAAAGTTATGTACACAACGAACCGCAATAACAGTTTTCACACAGTTTTCTGTTTTTTTTTTTCTCATGTTAAAAGCTCTGTGTGTACACATTTTTCATACTTTACACAGAGTATGTTTTATATATACAGTGTAACCCTGGCGGCATATATTAAAGTTAACTGTTGTCTCTGGGAACTCGCTTTTTTATTGTATTGCCATTTTTCTTCAACATTGACACAGATGGGTTTGCTGTATTTTAAATGTATGCTATCACTAAAAATTGTTTCATCTTTTTCTTCCAGTGAAATTGTGTCTTTTTTTTCTCTAAATACATCCTAATACCAATGTATGTAAACTTCAGTCAGCAAAACTATAAAGAAGATTTTTTTGTCATACTCATGAATCAGAGGTAAAGCAACTTCAGAAAATTTTGTTCTTTGTAGACAAAACTCCTTCACAGTTGCTACATGTTTTTCAAACGTTACAGAGAATCAAAAAAAATGATCCGATTAAACAGCTGCTGCATTTCTAGGTTCTAATATTTTTTTAAGTGTTTCCTTTTAGCATGCAGTTAGCTAAACAGGAAGTTTGAATGTTGTAAGGATCTTTCTTAAGAATCTACAAAAGTCGATTCTGTTCATCTGGACGTAGCGTTTTGTGGGAGAAACGTTTCGTCACTCATCCAAGTGACTTCTTCAGTCTCAGCTGACTGCAGGTTTCCCCCATCTTATAAACAGTACATTTGCATAATGACTGAAACCAGCCCAGTGAAGGAACAATGGGTTTAAGAATGTTATTTAGGAGTCACCATTCTCTCCTTACTGCTTATTTACACATTCATGTTCCTGTGATTTATCAAAGAAACACATTTGTACATGTACTCGTAATACTGCTGGGACATTCAATACTCTAACTAGCACCACTCACCTACTGTTGTCCATGGAAAAAGTAAGAAAGGAAGAAAGGAATTATGAAACAACTTAAGTGGGTTTTTGAAATTCCCATAATCATGTAACTCATGAAGACGCTGGTGAGAGGTCTGTGCCATTTATTGCCAGCAATTTATGTGTATTGATAAAATGTTTGTTTTACCATGTAAGTAAATCAACTTTGTAAAACTCTGGAACTGCATAAATGTTACCACAGAGACCATTTCTACAGTTTTTCTGTAAAGACAAACTATATTTCTACAGGCTTCTCTTCATATCTGCACCTCTTTCTGCCCCTATAGCAAACAGATAAATATTTCAATCAAAAATCTTATGATAAGAAATATCATTATAAAAAATAGGTTTTAATTGTTGTTGTTTTCAATTTCCTTTCACAAAAAAAAAAAGAAAAACAAGAAAAAAATAAACACTGAAAGTAACTCCGAAAGCAAGCTAAGTGACAGATGGTGTCAAGGCAAAAGGGCATCATTCTCCGTAAGACTGAAGCTATAAAAATCTCTAAAACTCTGCACAGAAATCAGGCCATTGCCACAAAAACAGACCGATTCTGGCAGAAAGACAAGCAGCATTACCTAACCCATTACGTTGCATATGTGATCTGAACAGCAACAAGAGCAGTTTGGAAAGACGTGGAAAACAATTAACTTCACCAAATGCGAGTCCAGCTGACATCCTTGCAGGACAGAGCCAGAGACTCGACTTCTGAAATATCAGCCATCATCCCAGTCTTGTTAAACTGACACAATCATCTGTCTTAGTAAAGACAGGAACAGGGACACGGTGTGTGTGTGTGTGTGTGTGTGTGTGTGTGTGTGTGTGTGTGTGTGTTACTTGTGAAAGGTATAGCTGTGAGTGTGTGTTGAGTGTGTGGGAGAGCGAGTATGCATGCCTCCGCCTCACCTATTAACGGCTGTTTCTCTGGTGGTTCTCACCTACTGTACTTCTTTTTCATGAACCTGTTTGTTTGAGGTTTGGAGGTCAAAGCATAATTAAGATGTCAAAACTTTAACACCACATCTGAGTCTCACTTCTTTATTGAACGTTTGCATCTTTCTCTCCATTTCTTGTTGTCCAGGAGCATATGGAGTGGTGCTCAAGTGCAGGCATAAGGTAAGATAGTACTTCTGATTTCTCAGAGTCTTACAGTATGCCTGGTTTGTTTTATTGTGATGTAAAGTGTTTGGATGGTGGCAAACTTTCACTGAGAAGAATGGTACGGTGATGAAGATTGAAACAAATGTGACTGGTATGATGGTTAAAATACTCAGAAAACTACAATGTCAACAGTGACGTTTCATCCCTATTTCATCCCTGAAATGTTAGCTAGCATGTTTTAACCCATTGTAAAAGCATACAGTAATGGAGGAAATCCTTTGCTTGGCTCTAAGTCGATATACTATGTAGACAGAAGTGCTGAGCCACCAACACATTATCAAGAGTAGCTGCTCAGTAATGGAAACGGATACCCTGAAGCTCCCAGCTCACAGTTTTGTGCAGATGTTAATGCCAGAGAAGGTTTGGATGTCTGCAGAGCACTAGCAACTTTTACATACTATGCATCTCAGCATTCAGTGACCCCGCTCTGTAACTCCAGTGGTCTGACCCTTTGTCGCTGAGTTGCAGTGGTTCTTAGACACTTTGCAATGTTATCATTTACAGTTGAGGGAGGAAAGAAATGAGAACCAGTGAGCTCTGTAGAACAAATCATTCTTTCACAAATGGTTGTAAAGCCAGACTGCATGGCTATGTGCTGGATTTTATACATCTGTGGCAATGGGACTGAAAACAGCTGAAAGATTAAAAGACTGTGTGGCCCACATATAAAGCGTATGTCTGGTCTGTATTTTAACAACCATATTTCTGTAGCTTACAGTAGGGAGACAAGCTGTATAAGCACAGCTTAGACTTACAGGTCTAATTCATTTAATAAGGAACAGATCCGCTGTTTTCATAGAGAACATTTATTGATGGCTTAGTTTCGAAGATTCTGCTATTGCACAAAATCGACCAGCGAGCAATTATAATGCAAAACGAAATAAAGTTCATTTCGCTTTTCTAACACACCCACAGTTGGTCCATTTGTTTTGCAGACAATGTGCGTGGTCACAAATTTTGAGCTACAGACCACTGTGCTCATTGGCAGATGGCAAAATTTACCTCATGCACACCAACATTTGCAGCCTCACCAAAAGCACATCTCAAAGCTGTGAGGCTATTTATGCTAGGGTACGTATACTTGCAATGCCAAGCAAGTGTTTATCATGCAAGTTATTATCATTTGCCAATTGTTATAAAACACAAGGTAAAGCTGAGGCAGATGGAACCGTTAGTATTGCATTTATGTCCTAAAAAATAGTGGAGAAAGTGGTTCATTTATCCGATGATGGGATGGGTGAATAGACAGGGAATCCCTTCAGAGTGAAAGAATGGTTACAGCCACCTTAAAGGTAGATTAGAAACTTTAATGTCACCACTTGCACATGTGCACCCTCATATGAATCACTTACTTGGTGCTTACTCACCGTGTCACGCTGTAAGCATGAATCTGAATGTTCTCTGACAGACATTGTTAGATCACGTTGGATTTTAGCGGTGACTCTTAAAACAAAGTTATTAAATGTGAGCCATTAATGTACTTTGTATGCATGAATGAAAGGGCTGAAGGTGTGACTCATCCAGCTGTGTCTTACTTAATATAACTGTGCGGTTTCAAGCTTATCTGTTATATGGTCCTATTACTTGTTTCTCTGCAGTCTGTTTATAAAGTAAATGAATTTTCTCAACATGTGAGAACTTTCCAGATCAAAATGATTAAATTACATTGTTTGTCTTTTTGACTTGTAATGATTGGGAATTCTCAAACAAAGCCCAAAGACCTTTTTTACCCTGTTGAAATTTTGGACTTTAGTCCAAATTTATTAAAACTGCTCTGCGAAACAGTAGTGCACATGCAACCAAAGACCGCCTGCAGCTGAAGGACAAATTTTCACAGTGTGACTTCTAATAAGGCTCGCATGTGCATACCAACCAGTCAAAAGGAAACGAGGCAAAATACAAAGGGCCAGTTTTGTAATATTTGAATAAATGTTAGGAATAAAACATTTCCTTCCCAACCACGTCAAATCTCTCCTTTTTCTCTTACTGCCATCATGTGTTTGGACTCTCTGCATGGGCTTGTGGGCCAAACAGAAGAGTTGTGCAGTTGGATATGAGGGCAAGCTAGCTCACATATGCCTTTTAACCCTCATCCGTAAAAGGCTGACTGGGTATTTTGTCGCCATGTCAGGTGGGCGGCATACACACCTAAGTTTGTGAATGTGATGACTCAAGAACGAGGCGACATGGGATTTTGAAAGTGATACCACAGGGGTGTCTGCTCGTAGGCTTGGGGGTAGCACTGGTGGTTGCCAGTATATTTTTTAATTAATGCCACAATTCACTGGAATATACGACATGCCTCAGGAGGATATTGTCTAATAGATTTTATTGGACCCATCCTACACAATGTAACATTAGGTAAACTTGCATGATGATTGCTGCTACGCTGTTGAAAGTTATCTGCAAAATAAGTAGTAAGCTAACACACTCATTCAGTTAGCACCTTTTATCTCTACTGGTCATGTTAAACGTGTGCAGTCAGTTATCTTTATTAGAGTTTTTATGTTGTCAAATCTGAAAGGCTCCCACGTAGTTCTGTGGTTTGGCATCATGCATATCCATTCAGCATTGTTTCTGTTGTTTTCTATTAGCGCCAAGAACAAGTATAGCCTAATGGTCAAGAAGCGTGAGCAGGTCACAGTGACAGCACAGCACGCTGCTACCTGTGCATGTTGCTTATATGCTGTGAATTTTGAGGGTAAAAAAATGTAACAAATTTACCAAAGACATATTTAATACTTTATTAATTCAGTTAGTAGGAAGTAGGCTGTTATTTCATCTTTCAGAAATAACAAGTCCTTTTGCTACGTGATCATAATTAGCAGCTAAATGTGCTTAAACTTACAGAAGGTAGTTGTGTAGATTAACCCCCTTCTAATGAAATTCTGTCCATTTTTGCAAAGTAATATGTAGCTATAGCTTTCAAATCAACGTAGAGTTGTTGTCTGAAGTTTACACACATGGACATAGAAGTCATGGTAACTTTTAAATTTGAATGATTTCTTTAAATAGTTTTTTTTCCAGGGTGAATGATTGTTGTTGCTGTATGCTTAATGACTTTAAAAAACAATTTAAACTTTCTCTAATTGGCTGAAGGACAAACGTATACATACAGGCTGAACTATGGGTTTCTGAGTCATTTCTAAACAACTACAGAGTCCAAGAAATGTAATTCAAATAGTTTACATAAGTACAACTTATTTGGATGTGTCAACACTTTGCCAGGGTCTGAAAAAGGACCCAGACTTTTACCCTTCAATGAGAAGAAATGTGCAGATGTTCAAAAACAACCCAGGAACTACTGAGTCTCAAGGCTGCTATGAACTGGAAACTGCTGAAACACCAGTGTCGCTGTCCACAGTAAAGCCAACGAAGAAAGAAGCTGCCCAAATGGACAAACCAAATACCTTCTGAAGAAAATTTTATGGTCACACGATACAAAGACTAAGATTTTTGGACACAGTGACAAGAGTAAAGGTGAGTATCTCAGGCCTAAGAAGACTGTAGCAACTATCAAGCATGGTGGTGGTAGCATCATGCTTTGCGGGAACAGTGGATGGAATAATAAAGGCAGATTACCTCCAAATTTTTAAACTTCACCCCAAATCAAGAACTAGATGGTTGAAACTTGGACATAGTTGTATGTTCCAACAGGAGGACAATGATCCCAAACACATCAAAACGGGATCTGGAATTAATAAATCATTCACGTTAACATAGGCTTCTGGAATGACTTTCCCAAAGCCCTGACCTCAGCTCTACTGAGAATTTTTCAAATATAACCAACTAACTGTGCCAAGAAGAGTGGTCAAATATCCAGCCAAAATTATGCAGAATTACTGAAGGTAGTTTATGGCTACCAAAGCGTCTGCTTGACTTACAACTTGCTAAAGGATATTTAACCAAATATTAATGTGAGTGTATCCATATATATGTGAGCCTGTATGTATACTTATAACCCTTTGTGGATGAGAGGAAATGCAAAAAAAATTCAAACTGCACTCAATTTCTTTTTCTTTCCTTTTTTTTTTTTTTTTTGGTGAATGTGGTGACTGTGAATGTATGACTGCAGCTGTAGTTAACGAAAAAAGTGCAATATTTGCCTCTTAAATAAAGCAGTACTTAATGTAAAAGCAAATTTTGTTACTGCTAATTCAAATGATTACGGTAATTTCTTATGAATGACAATTGTGTTACATAGTACTCCGTTCACAACCACTAGTTATTCATTAATAAAAACGGCACCTAATGTCTAACCCAACTTTGTCTAAAGTGCTTGTTGAGAAAGTGGAAACAAAAATCCCTTAAATGATTTTAAGAAAATGTCTTTTATTTGTCTAAGACTGATGAGCTTGATGTTCAGAAAACATGATTTTCAGTCAGTGGTTTTAATTAGTTTTAGTTAGTGTGATTGTTTATTTACTATTTTTATTTATAAAACCTTTAAATTCACAATATAGTCTTCTCCAATAAATCTCACCTCTTTTCACATGGTGCAGTACAATAACCAGACAGCACATGTGAAAGTACGATACTGACACAGTGGTTTGGATTGATAGTCAAGTATTTTCCATTCGTCTTTTCAGATTTTTTGTATTTTATGTGTTCATTGATCAGGCTTATTTAGGGCCTTTCCAGGCTTTGGAATCAGTCTTAGGCAAGTTGAGTGCCGGTATGCCGAGTGGAGCACTGATGTTTTAGAAAGCAGGAATAATGCTGTCAGCTACAAACAATGCAGCTATTCAAGCAATAAACTTGGAAGCAATCTTGGGATATAAAAACATCTGTGGATGAATCAGCATGTTACAACTGAACACAAATACACACACATTGGTATCCTGGCTTGGTCAGAGAGGAATGGGGTTAATGGTGGATTACAGCAAATATTATGAGCACCTGTATTCAGACATTCATTAATAAATAGACATTAACGAAGAGTTTAATTACACTGA